GACCTCTATGATTGTAGTTTTTAAAACTTTTTCTAACAAAGTTTATTAAAGGAAGTTTTAAGATTATCAATTTTCTTTTGATGATCATCATGTACTCTTGAAAGTAAGTTATGCAAATCAGTATTTTTCTTTTTAAATTCATCTAATTTGATTTGCAATTCTTTGATCTTACTTTCAAGATCATTGTTGGTTTTGGACATAAGACTATTTTCAATTTTCAATTTTGAAATATCATTTTTATATTTTGAAAATAAAGTATTATAATCTGAAGCCAACCCATTGTAATCCTCTAATAACCCATCATAAGATAAATCATCTAAATCAAATGAGTTAGAGGTTACCTGAGAGTTTTCCCCTATGGTCATCAGGCACAAGTTTGCAACTTCTTGTTCCTCTTCATCGGAACCTTCTTCATCGCTTCATGTAGCCACATGAGCCTTGTGTTTTTTTCTTTGATTGACCCTTTTTCTTCAATTGTGGGTAATCATATTTGACATGCCCCGTATTTTTGCACTCATAGAAAATGATATGGTCTTTCTCATTCGGTTCATTTTTTAAGCTTTCATTGCGTTTGAATTTTCTTCATCGGTTGAGCCTCATCAATTTTCTGAACCGTTTGGCAAATAATGTCATCTCCTCATAATCGTCATCTTCATCCGAATCACTATCATCTTTTGTGGATTTGATAGCAACTCCTACGTTCTTTTTCTTCTCCGTCTTTTTTTTTATCTCGTCTGTTTTTTCGAGGTCTACCTCATCTTGAAGCATCATTTCATGAGTGATGAGAGAACCAATTAGCTCATCGAGAGTTAAGGATTTTAAATTTTTAGCCTCGATGATCGCCGTCTTCTTTGATTGCCAAGATTTTGGAAGAGAGTAAACTAACTTCCTCACAAGCTTCTCATTTGTAATGATTTCTCCAAATGATTTGAGACCATTAACAATCGTGGAAAATCTATCCGTCATAGCTTTGATATCTTTATCCAGTTTCATCCTTAAATTTTCATAGCTATGAGTTAGAAGACTAATTTTGGATTCTTTTACCTTGTTTGTGCCTTCATGAGTGACTTGTAGTTTATCTCATATTTCTTTGGCAGTTGTACAAGATGATACTCTCACGTATTCATCCGGACCAAGAGCACAAAAGATAATATGGATAGCTTTGGAGTTGAGTTGGAACATTTCTGTCTCTCCTTCACTCCACAATCTTGGATGAGTGAAAGGTTTTATATATTCGTCTTCTATGATATTACATGCTCTCATGTCACTTGCTTGAATGAAATACATCATTCTATTCTTCCAATAAGCATAATTAGCTCCATTGAAGAAAGGAGGCTTGTTGACGGGCAATGAATCAAGACCGAAGTCGTGGTTTGAAGTAGAGGCCATTGATGACTTGATTATCGATGCAACTCTTCCCGAATCAACTCAAGAGTCGATTAAACCTTTAAATGAGTGAGGCTCTGATACCAATTGTTGAGTTAATCGATCGATGAAATCGGCCAAGATGGGGGTGAATTGGCAATAAAAATTTTAGTGGAAGCTTTTGCAGAAAATTGAAAATATTTGCACAACGATTTAGAGTGGTTCGACTTTCTCAACCAAAGTCTACGTCCACTACCTTAGCTATCCACACTAAGGATTTTCCACAAATTCACTAATTTGTCTTTCTTTTGAGGATAAAGAGTAACCTTACAAATCCCTCAAGAGTTATACCCCAAATTCTTGAGAACACTCTCTCCCAAAGAGAATAATACAAATTTTGCAAACTTACAAGAAAATCTTCACAAGGCAAGATGTTTGCATAACTCTAGAACAAAGAAAGAACACTCAAGAATAATACAATTGAGCACGATAAGTGTTCTTGAAAGAAAAAATGAATATTGAATAAAATAGGCTTGAAAATGCTCAAACTTGAGGTTTGAAGCTTTCTCTTTGATTCTCTCTTGATTCTTGATAATTTTTGCTGATCAATAACTCCTAAGCTTGTTTAAATACACATTGGATCACTTTTGAACGTTGGGGATTATTAGTGGAGTCAATAGAGTCGTTATTATGTGAAAACAATTAATAAAACGGTTGGGAGCGTGTGTGCATCGATGCATAGGCTTTGTGCATCGGTACATTATGTGTAAAATTCAAATATTTCGACTGTTGGAAGACTTAGTGCATCGGTACACTGGGGTGTGCATCGGTGCACAAATATACTTCGATGTTTCAAAATAGCCAGGGTGCATCAATGCATGGCTTGTGTATCGGTGCACTAAATGTATTTGAAATTCAATTTAATTAAGAGTGCATCGATTCATTCCTTTGAAAATTGAACTTTTGGCTCATTTTTTGTTCGAAATACTTTGTGAAAATTGTTTCAAAAATATTTTAAGATTAAAACACAATTTTACACTTTAGTAAGGATTATATTTGGACTTTGAAAAACTTGGAGTAATATTTTGATATTCGGATAATTGTATCAAATATACTTAGAAAATCATTTGTAAAATCTTTGTAAAAGCTTTTTGTTGCGATATAACTCACCAAACATGAACACTCAGCTAAGGAATGACATAGCATCCTTTCTCATGTTGATGACGAATCTATGTATGCATGTTGGGATCGTTATAAGAGTTTGCTTTACAAATGTTATAATCATGGTTTTAAGACTGGACTCAAGTAGTGATGTTTTATAATGGAGTCAATGTACCCACGAGGATGATGCTTGATGCCTCGATGAATGAGACATTGCTCGACAAATCACCTACTGAGGCATTTACTATTCTTAATAGGATTGCCAATAACTATTATAAATTTTCTTCCTCATGGCTTGGAACTAGGAGAAAAACACTTGAGGCATTCGAGTTAGATGCCAAGGACTTCGTGTTAGCTCAACTCTCAGTTATCACTAATATGTTGAAGAATCTACAACCCTCAACTGAGGTGAAAAAAGTGAAGACAACTAGTTTGGCATGTCTGTTATGCCATGTCAATCACCAGGAAAACGAATGCCTGACTAAACATGAGTCCATTAACTATGTAGGCAACTACAACCAAGACTATAACAATCTCTATTCCAATACCTACAATCCAGGGTCACGCCAAAACCTTAACTTCTCGTGGGGAAATCAAGGAGCCCTTAATGCTAGTCAACCTACTCGCCTGCAAAATTTCGTTGAACCTCAAGGCTACCAAAACATTATGTCATGGCATAATGCTAACAAGGGAGCCTCATCTTAATCTAACACAAGTTCTTTGGAGGCCACGATTAAAGACTTCATAGCTACCACTAAGACAATGTTGCAAGACCATACTACATCCATAATGTGATATTTTTCAATCACTAAGAAGTAGCTAAGCAACGATTAAAGACTTCATAGCTTTAATTATGAAGTCTTTAATCGTGGCTTAGCTATGAAGTCTTTCAAGACCTACTTGATTTGCAAGACCTACTTGATTTGCAAGACCAACAAGGAGTGCATGAGGATGTGTTGAAATTATGCCATGGCATAATGCTAACAAGGGAGCCTCATCTTAATCTAACACTGATGAAACACCACTCAACCAAGCCTTAGCTCGGTCACGTAAAGAGTAAGGATATAGCTTTAATTTCAACACATCCTCATGCACTCTTTGTTGGTAGAAAGAACCACATACCTCCAAGAAATTACGAATATGCTGCCTGACATTTTCATTAGGCATGCCCCCAAATTGCCCTATAGAATTTAGCATATTGAACATGATTGGTTTGAACTCAAAATGGACTGCCTTAATTTTGGGTGCCACAATTCCATGCTTCAGATCAAATTTTTATATGAGTATTTTCTAATTTAATGTTGAACGCTAATTTTATTAATAACAAATTTATTACAATGAGAATTTAGTAAAAGGTATTATTAGTTAATTTTTCATTCCATCAACAAAAATATTAATTTTTTATCTCGCTCACATTGATCGAATAAAATAATATAATATTCTTGTTAATGCATTAAATAATTTCTTATCTGGAGGTAAATTGGTTGTTGGTGAGCCAACATGTTTCCTCTTCCAACGATCAAAAACTCAGGGTGCGTTTAGTTCACGGAATATAAGATTACCAGTGAGAATAAAAGATTACCAGGGAATAGGATTACTGGGAATGTTGTATTTTGTGTTTGGTTGGTTTAGCAGGAATGTAAGATTACCGTGTTTGGTTAAAAGAATAAAAGATTTTTGGAATGTATATTTGACCAAATTGTCCTATTATATATTTGTATAATATTACAAATTGTAAAATATTTATATATTTTCTTTAAAAAATTAAATTCATAATATTTATATAATTTTTTTATAAAATTAAAAATATAAAAAAAGTTTAATGAAATGGTAAAAAAAATTAACCCCAGAACTTCATATAAAATTTTAATTATAGATTTTTTTTTTTTTGTAAATCTAAAATAATTTAAGGATAAATTTGTAATTTAACCTTCGTAGAATTTTTATTATTCAATGACAGAAGAAAAATATTTTTGAAAAAAAATAAAAATTTAAGGTCATTTTAGTCCAAAATGTCGGTAATGTTACAATACCTAAGAGAATGGAGATAATGACATTCCCGGTAATATACCCTAAAAAATCTACTATTGGTAATAAAATATTACCGGGAATAAAATTCCCAGTCAACCAAACATGAGGATATGAGATTACCACCCCTCACGGTTTAGACGTGGAAGTAATTATGGTTTTGAGATTAGGTTTGAACAAAGACCTCTAATCACATGCACTTAAATTCAGATCAGAAGTTTCTACTATCAGTGATTTCCAATCTGTTTAATTTTTTTTCCTTTCAACATGATGAAGTGAGCGGCCAGTATTTGGTTTCTGTTGATGAAATCTCAAATCTGTGATTTCTGTAGCTTGTGGTGGACAAACAGAAGGGACACTGATTGGGATAGTATTTGTCTTCAATCGTGGGCAGATTCTTGCTCTCTTGTTTTCTATAGGGATTCCATAATTCAAACTTCAATCAATCAATCAAATCGGAATATATGAAATTCTCGTGCTCTCTAATCTGCGAAATCACGTGCAAATGATCCTGTTGTGCATCATTAGAGAAAACGAAGGAGATTGATAAAGGTTAGTAGACGCTTCTCGGATTTAATAGCATTAATTAGATGTAACTGAATTTTATAGCTCAGATCAGATGAAACACAGTGAGTTTAATGTATTTGCAAGCAATGATGGATCCAAGACTGATTCCTAACTTACCTCGAGTAGTAATCGCTGTAAATTTGTATTGGATCTCTCGTCTTAACACGAAAGTCGTAGAATTCTTACTTGTAAACTGTTCATCTTATACTTTTGGCAGGAAACTGAGAAATTCAAAATAATTTGCGAAAATTCCCACCTAAAACGAGGCCAAAATATTTTCACAAACAAAGAGAGAGGCCATTTCGGTAAACTAACACAGCTTTTCCCTCCTAAAAATCACAACTGTTAAATCCCTAAAAAATCTAGCGAAGACTGGCTTAGAAAGATTGTGTATCCCATATTCGAAAAGAAAGCACGAAAGAGACGCATTCCCATCTCTCTATCTCCATCGTTATGTGGCCATGACTTCACTGCAATGACACAAACCCGTTATTCCCGGACTCGGAGCCCCGAAATCGAAAAGGAAAAAGCCGGAGGAGGTGGTGGAACTGCCATGAGAGTGATAATTCCTCTACAAGGTATTGTTCAAGGACGAGGGGGCTTAGTTTTAGGCTCCGTAATCCCTTGTTCAAGGGCGAGGGGGCTTAGTTTTAGGCTCCGTAATCCCTTGCGCGCTCTTTTACTTTCTCCAATTCTATTTGAAGCGACACCGTAAAGACACGGATGACCAGAACGATTCGAATTCCTCGGGTCAAAACCCAAACCCCCGTTCATCGTCGTACGGGAAGTTATCGGAGCTTCCTGGGTTGACACGTAACTTGTCTCGGGGTTTGATCTCGCCGCGAAGTCTGCGTGGACCCGTCTCTGTTTCGGGTCGGGTTAGAGGGATTGTAAAGGGAGCGGATTCTCCGTATTACGTGGGACTGAGGCGGGCTAAGGAGGATCCATATGATGAACTGAGTAATCCAAATGGGGTCATCCAGCTGGGTTTAGCAGAAAACAAGGTAGGTTCTTTTTTCCTTTTTTATCATAATTTTTAATATGCTTTATGGTTCTTTTTAAATATTTCTATTTTTTCAGTTGTCTTTGGATTTGGTTAAGCACTGGCTAGCAGACAATGCGGAGCAAGCCATATTGAGAAACGGGAAAGAGCTGAGCATTAGCAGGATTGCCACTTATCAGCCTTTAGATGGATTGATGGAGTTCAAAGTGGTAAACATTGTGAAAATATGTTCAACTTATCTGTTATTATTTTTTTTACTTTAGTTTAATGCTATCACTCTATTCACTATCACACTTGCAGTTTATTGAGTTGGTTCTCTTTTTAGGTTTTATTTTTACTTTATATTGTATGAAGTATTTAAACCTCAAATAGCCAAATGGTACACATGATGCTAGTGAGGGAAAGTCTTACAATCCACTCTTAGTCTTTTAGGTGACTTTAAGATGTCTTTTTAGGATTTAACTGTTTGGAGATTCAGATTGGTTAAGTAATATTGCAGATACTTAAAGCTATAAGGACTGTTTGCTTATGGCTGTGGTTAACGGTTTATGATGTTAGTTAGCAAAGGTGGCACCAAAATTTTGGTAGAATATAATGTTTGTGTTATGAGAATCCAGTAAGAGTGAGGCCGTGAACACCAAATATATGAATTTTACTATTTGAGGTCTGAGTATATTGGTGGCAGGCACTGGACAAGCCGAGTTTGTTTCTTATATAACTCAAAGAGGACTTTTTGTTAGGTGTTATATCTTCAATAGAAGAGGGGGGGGGGGGGAAACAATAAAGCAAACATGCAATGAGGCCTTGTAATTTCCAGTTCAATTCAACTCTTAAAATTAGTGCTTTCTCACCACCATTTATATATCACTTACTTGGATTACTTGCCCGTGATCATAAAGTGACCACTTTTCATTTGGAGAAAGAGAAGGAATGCAAAAGAGAGCGGAGGAATATATTACCAATTAGTGACAAGTCTTGAGCACGTGTTTTCCAGGGGTATTTAGAATTTTCAGGTGATATAATATGCTGAAAGAATACCTTAACCAGCACAAGTAAAATTTTAAATTTAGCATGCATCGAGAGTAAGATGTCTGATATAGTTGGAAGTCGTACTTGTCTAATGATTACTACTGGAAATATTTTGTTTTTGTCCATAAACAGTGTCTACTCTAAATGCTTGTGTTCCTAATTGTCTTTACTTTGCAGGCTGTAGCAGGATTCATCTCTCAAGTCATGGAGAAAGCTGTTTCTTTCAACCCTTCACAGGTAGTGCCGACGGCTGGTGCGACCCCTGCTATTGAGATTCTTAGTTTCTGCTTAGCAGATGCTGGAAATGCATTTCTTGTTCCAACACCATATTACCCCGGGTAATATTCCTCTCCATTTTGACGGTTTTCATTCTGGTAAGCAGCTATCCGACAAGGAAACTAATGTTTCTTACAAAATGTGCAGTTTTGATAGGGACATAAAATGGCGAACTGGGGTCGAAATAATACATGTTCCTTGCCGAAGTGCGGACAACTTCAATTTAAGTATAGCTGCCCTCGATCGAGCATTTGACCAGGCAAAGAAACGTGGACTTAAAGTGCGTGGGATAGTAATATCAAACCCCTCAAACCCTGTTGGCAATCTTATAAATCGAGAAACATTTTACAGCCTTCTAGACTTTGCCAGAGAGAAAAACATCCGTATTATCTCTAATGAACTATTGGTTGGTTCTACTCATGGAAATGAAGAATTTGTGAGCATGGCAGAACTCCTTGACCCGGATGATTTTGACCGGAAAAGAGTTCATATAGTGTACGGGTTGTCAAAAGACCTTTCTCTTCCAGGTTTTCGGGTCGGTGTTATCTACTCATATAGTGAGGGAAAGTCTTACAATCCACTCTTAGTCTTTTAGGTGACTTTAAGATGTCTTTTTAGGATTTAACTGTTTGGAGATTCAGATTGGTTAAGTAATATTGCAGATACTTAAAGCTATAAGGACTGTTTGCTTATGGCTGTGGTTAACGGTTTATGATGTTAGTTAGCAAAGGTGGCACCAAAATTTTGGTAGAGTATAATGTTTGTGTTATGAGAATCCAGTAAGAGTGAGGCCGTGAACACCAAATATATGAATTTTACTATTTGAGGTCTGAGTATATTGGTGGCAGGCACTGGACAAGCCGAGTTTGTTTCTTATATAACTCAAAGAGGACTTTTTGTTAGGTGTTATATCTTCAATAGAAGAGGGGGGGAAAAAACAATAAAGCAAACATGCAATGAGGCCTTGTAATTTCCAGTTCAATTCAACTCTTAAAATTAGTGCTTTCTCACCACCATTTGTATATCACTTACTTGGATTACTTGCCCGTGATCATAAAGTGACCACTTTTCATTTGGAGAAAGAGAAGGAATGCAAAAGAGAGCGGAGGAATATATTACCAATTAGTGACAAGTCTTGAGCACGTGTTTTCCAGGGGTATTTAGAATTTTCAGGTGATATAATATGCTGAAAGAATACCTTAACCAGCACAAGTAAAATTTTAAATTTAGCATGCATCGAGAGTAAGATGTCTGATATAGTTGGAAGTCGTACTTGTCTAATGATTACTACTGGAAATATTTTGTTTTTGTCCATAAACAGTGTCTACTCTAAATGCTTGTGTTCCTAATTGTCTTTACTTTGCAGGCTGTAGCAGGATTCATCTCTCAAGTCATGGAGAAAGCTGTTTCTTTCAACCCTTCACAGGTAGTGCCGACGGCTGGTGCGACCCCTGCTATTGAGATTCTTAGTTTCTGCTTAGCAGATGCTGGAAATGCATTTCTTGTTCCAACACCATATTACCCCGGGTAATATTCCTCTCCATTTTGACGGTTTTCATTCTGGTAAGCAGCTATCCGACAAGGAAACTAATGTTTCTTACAAAATGTGCAGTTTTGATAGGGACATAAAATGGCGAACTGGGGTCGAAATAATACATGTTCCTTGCCGAAGTGCGGACAACTTCAATTTAAGTATAGCTGCCCTCGATCGAGCATTTGACCAGGCAAAGAAACGTGGACTTAAAGTGCGTGGGATAGTAATATCAAACCCCTCAAACCCTGTTGGCAATCTTATAAATCGAGAAACATTTTACAGCCTTCTAGACTTTGCCAGAGAGAAAAACATCCGTATTATCTCTAATGAACTATTGGTTGGTTCTACTCATGGAAATGAAGAATTTGTGAGCATGGCAGAACTCCTTGACCCGGATGATTTTGACCGGAAAAGAGTTCATATAGTGTACGGGTTGTCAAAAGACCTTTCTCTTCCAGGTTTTCGGGTCGGTGTTATCTACTCATATAGTGAGGAGGTTTTGGCAGCTGCTAAAATGTTGGCAAGGTTCTCATCTATTTCAGCTCCAACCCAGTGTTTGCTCATCTCCATGCTATCTGATGCCATATTTGTTCGAACATTAATTACCATAATCCGAGAGAGGCTTCGAAGTATGTATACTCAGTTTGTGACCGGATTAAAAAAACTGGGCATCGAGTGCATAAAGAGTAGTGGGGGTTTCTACTGTTGGGCGGATATGAGCGGGTTAATCCGCTCTTACAGCAAGAAAGGAGAACTTGAGCTGTGGGAAAAGTTGTTGAATATTGCTAAGGTGAATGTAACTCCAGGGTCTTCTTGTCATTGTATTGAACCGGGAAGGTTCCGCTTCTGTTTTACTACATTGACAGAGAAAGATATCCCTGTTGTCATGGATCGGATTCAGAAAGTTTGTGGAACCTGAAAATTGAATAGATGAAATGCTATTATTTTATTCTATGATTTTAAATAATGTGCAGATTTGTTCTTGATTGGAAGCTCGTGCATTCGACACACTATAGTTCGAAAGTCATAGTACCCGACTTGAACTTTTAGGCACTAACAGATAGAAATGCTTGTTGGGATTTCGCCACTCAAACTATTCCCACGGAGCATCGGCGAACCCCGATGTCCCACTACTGGTCCCGGTCGCTGGAATTTCACCAAGGAATTCGTTTTGTGAAACATTGAAATAGGTAGTGTTCTTAAATTCAAGATTAAAAGAGTTTACACTGTATTATTCACTAATGTCTCCATTTTTCTTTACGTTTCAAAGCTTCGGTAACCCAAGCGATGGCCTGGTTTCTGCAAACTTTAATTATATTTATTTAACTCAGTTCTGTTTGTCTTGTTGCATTTGACTGAGTGCAAGGTTTGGGTTAGAAAACATAGAAGAGTGGATCAAAGTTGAAGACACGAGTACAGAAAGTGAAAATTAATTTAAATAATTACTGCATATTAACTTAACGTATATGAAGAACTTACTAGCATGACCCTTGAACCTTTGCCTTTTGATATATTCTTGTCCATGCCCATGCGTACTTCATTCACCTTCAAGTATTAGTGTCATACACAGTGCTCCCAGTGCACTGTTTAAAGAAATGCCAGGCAAGCAACTGCAGCCCACAAAGAACAAAATTTCAAATAAAATTTAAATAATAAAATTATACTCATTAATTCAATTAATTTATTATTTCCAACTCGATTTAGCTAGATTGGATTGAATATTTACACCTAATATATCATATTCAAAACTAATAATGGTAAGAAAATACGGAGAAAAAGGTAAAATATACAAGGATTTATTTTTAATTAAGTTAAAGTGATTATAAAATAGGTATTTATTCTATATATTATTAATCATCTGACAATGAATGTTCTTATAGTCACTGGTGCTTAAACCCGTGAATTTTAAGAACAATAATATTTTTTTTAATCACTAAAATAAGTTAATTCGTGTATATATATATATATATATATATAAAAGGAAATTTTACATGTTGACATGAAGTGTAAAAGAATCTGTGTATTATTCATTTAAATATAAATTTATTAGCATTGATTGTAATTAAACGGCAATGCCCCCACCCCTCTCTCATCAAAATTAAAACCACTTTAACTTGATAAAAAACACTATAAAAATCATAATACACTTAATTTATTATTTTTATATTTATCGTATTTTCGTATTAATTTAACTCTCGAATTTATTCAATTGCATCAATGTTTTAAATATGTACCATTATTTAGAGTTTTAAGTTAGAGTTTAATGTTTAGAGGATAAAAGATTATGGTTTAGGGTTTAGGATTTGAAATTTAGATTTTTAAGATAGTGTTGGGGTATAAGATTATGAAATTAAACAATTTTAAAGATTAAATTGATGGTAAAATACCATAAAAGTAAAAATGATAAATTGTGTCCATTACATAATAAAAATGACACTTAAACCATAAATTTATTTAACCTTTTAGATTAAAAAAATAATATTTTAAGTTAAAATCATATAAAATTAATCTTAAATTGAAATGTTGTATAGCAAAACTACTCAAATTAGATAGGTAGTGTGAACATGAATAATTCTCCCACAAACTCATCTTCATTCTGTCTATAATGTTGGCACTCCATTTAAAAGGCAGTGTGGTAAACTCTCAAACTTAAAAGAATAGAACTTTTCACATTATAAAAAAAAGTACACTAAAGAATCTATGTGGTTAAGAGGTATATTAATCAGAATTAAAGAATTATGTATTATTTAATTATTCTTCCCCTTTTGGCTTTACGCCAGCGGAGTCTTTGAATGTTCTCCTACGCTACTTACCAAGAGAGTTTGAAGAGCCGGTGAGAAGCGCTGAAATCCATTTCATTCATTCCTTGTTTAAAAAAAAATCAATTTATAGAAAACCAAAAATGGGTTCAACTACTGGCCGGTTCTTGATCCAGAGCCCACGATTCAGTCATGTTTTCTTGCAAAAAAATCATAACTTTCATTTACCAAAGCGAGTCCAGTTTCCGGTTTTGCCGCAAAGTTGCGATTTTCATGTTCCTGTCAGTTCCATTTCTCAGTGTAAGTTCTGTTGTTGTTGGCCTTCAATTATTGTTTTTTAAGTCATTTGATCTTCTGGGTTATGTTCTGAAAGAATTTTTTTATTTCATCCTTTGTGTGTATGTTTGTGTTCCTTGTTGCAGATGGGAGTTCTAGGTTTTTGGAGTGCAAATGTGCACCAGAGAGTGTATCAGGATCTTTTGAAAGGGATCCGGGTCAGGAATATGGACCCGAACCAAATCAGGTACTCATATTTTTGCTAATAGAATCTACTAGTGTTCATATTTCAGCTAAGCCGAGTTTCCTTACAGTTTGATAGTTTTAATTTGGTTCAAAAGGCAACCATCTCTAGCTATTTGCGATATGTAGTACTATAAAATGTTAGCATCTAATAGTCAGCCTCAAAGATCAAAACTTTATAATGGGGAGGTTTGATAATTGATGCTCAAATCCTAAATTTGATTACTTTTATCATGTTGTATTGAAGTATTGGATGTTCTTTGCTATGGTGCTCCAAGTTAATCCTATTCATCTATTTAGGTATAAACATTGGCATTATATCCTGGTTTGGGGAAAAATTTATAGTTCTTGTGTATTCCTTGTTTCAGATGGTTGAACAAAAGGAGACTACTATTGGGGATATTTTGAAGCAATCAAATTCCTTTCTGCCGCATGTAGTCCTTGCAAGTACAATTCTTGCTCTCGTGTATCCGCCTTCTTTCTCATGGTTTACCAGCAGGTCTTTAGCCGATTCTTTCTATGAATATGTTGTCTATACAATGTATTTTACTGCTTTTGCTTTTAATGGCAAATGGATCTTAGTTCCAGCTTCTGTTTGTTTAAGCCATCTCTTTAAAATTAGGATTAATTCTTCCATTCCTTTTCTCATATTTATATCTAACATTCATTGCAGCTTTTTAGTAGTATTTGCTACTTGAAGTAATGAAATGATTTTTTGGATTGATAGCTTATGCTTTTATTATCTGCTCTCTTTCTAGGTACTATGCCCCTGCATTAGGGTTTTTGATGTTTGCAGTGGGGGTTAATTCCAGTGAGAAGGATTTTATTGAAGCATTTAAAAGGTCAGATGCTATTTTGGCTGGTTATGTTGGTCAATATGTTGTGAAGCCCCTGCTTGGATATATTTTCGGAATAATAGCTGTGACCGTGTTTGGTCTTCTTACACCTTTAGGTGCGTCTGCGTTTGTCTTCATGGTTAATGCTGCCAAAGATTAGTTCTTTCTTTGCCTAAAAATGCAGTATAGTTTGTGCTGATAAATGTGGATCTATGAATCAGGTGTAGGGATTATGTTGGTATCCTGCGTAAGCGGTGCTCAGCTCTCAACTTATGCTACATTCTTGACAGATCCACCACTAGCTCCGTTAAGCATTGTTATGACATCATTATCTACTGCTACTGCTGTTTTCGTTACACCGATGTTGTCTCTCCTGCTTATAGGGAAAAGACTGCCCGTTGATGTCGTTGGAATGGTGTCTAGCATTCTGCAGATTGTTATTGCTCCTATTACAGCAGGATTGCTTTTGAATCGGTTATATGCTAACCCCAAATTAATATGGTTGAACTCGATAATATCCTTTTTAGGAGTTTCACGTCTAATCTGTATCTCAGGTCGTTCCCACGTCTATGTAATGCCATGAGGCCATTTTTGCCGCCGCTTTCTGTGCTTGATACAGCTTGTTGTGTTGGAGCGCCACTTGCTATTAACATTAATTCTGTTCTGTCCCCTTTTGGTTTAACTGTTTCGTTGCTTATTGTTGCATTCCATTTATCGGCATTCATTGCTGGTTATTTCCTTAGTGGCTTGGTCTTCCATAAAGCACCCGACATGAAAGCATTGCAAAGAACTCTATCCTTTGAGACAGGCGAGGGCCCTTCCTTCTGTTTCCCTCTTGTTAGTTTGCACCATTGCTGATATTATTCGATATTGCAGGAATGCAAAGCAGTCTTTTGGCGCTTGCGCTTGCTAACAGGTTCTTTCAGGATCCACTGGTCAGCGTGCCTCCGGCTATCTCAGTAAGCCATATTTTGTTACTTCTTGCGCTTGCCTTTTCCGGTGTTGTTTCTAATGCATTGATAACCTCCTTTCAATCCTCCACAATCCATATCCCGTCTTCTCAGTTGGGAAAACGAATTGCTCCTAACTGTCTTGTTTATGGGATTTGCAGACTGTAATCATGTCTTTGATGGGGTTCGCGCTGGTCATGCTTTGGGCAAAGAAGAAATAATATTGGGGAAATGGTGAATCCATTGCTATCTGATGCATAAACTTGTGCTTCAAGGCGAAGTTGGATCATTGTAGAGCAGCAAATGGAAAAGAATCCATTGTAATTCATTCCTAAGTTTAACTGATGAGCTTAGATTGAACTCAGTTAGTCCATGTAGCACAAATAAAATAGGAATACAATTCACATAACATTTAAGTTTTTTTTTTAAATTAAAATGGGGTAAATATAATAGTATTTGAGATCAATCTTAACTATTTGACGTTGAACGCTCACATCTTGACATTTATAGTGTTTGAATCCGACACTTCAAAAACAATAATTTTTTTACCATTAAATGAAAAATAAGAATAATAAGTATATTTAAATTACACCATTTTGGTATGAACCTAGCGATTTCAATAATAAAGGAATTTATGTTATTCTTTAAGATTTCGGGTTCGAGCCATGAATATTAGGGATTTGAGTATTCAGTGTCAAATGATTGAAAATTAATTTTAAACGAATACTGTTTTGTATTTACGAAGATCAATTAAAAAAATTACACAATTGGATCCATCTGATCCGGTTATATATACACCACAATTGAACCGGGTTATAGGGGAAGAGGAGTGTCAAATAAGGAGGGGACGAAAGCAACTTGAATTTTTTATTCATTAAATTGCACTCCTAACCTTATATTCTTCCCACGTTTAAATTTTAGCCATTCTACTTTATTTCTAAATTTTAAATTTAATTATTAAATTCAAATCCATTATAAAATTGTTTTAATAAAAAAATTAATAGTATGAGATGATTATAAAATAAATTTTATTAATTGATTAACAATGTATATATATATATATATATATATATATATTGAAATTCCATTCTATATATACATCTATCTAAATCAAAATCTTTAATTTTTTAAAATGGAATCTGTTTTGTTATTTTAAAATGGGGATAAATTATATATTTAATGCCCAAACTATCAGTTTTTGTTTGTTTTAATATCTAAACTTTTATTTTTCTAAAATCATATCTAATGTTTAATTTTTGTTTCATTTTAGAACTTTTGCGTCAAAAACTTAACGGACGAATTCACCGACCATCGCGTCTAAAGGCGTCGATCGTTCTTAAACTTTCCAGCACACACCTTTTCAACCCTTTGAACGCGAGTCTAACATTCGTTTCACCGAGAAATGCCTCAATCTCCCTAAATCGACAATGAACTCTTCATTTTCTTCATCCTCCTATCTCCATGGTTCACTATTCGATAGTCCTAAAACTATTTGAATTGGTTGTATGTCCATTGAAACTATGTCATGTGAGCCTGTCCGTTAAGTTCTTACAATGGAGTACTAAAAAAAAAACTAAATATTAAATATAATTTTATTAAATATTAGTTTACCCTTTAAAATATCATATCATTATACTTGACAATGGTAATAGTTAAATTTTAAAAATAAAAAAGACTAAACAGCCTTCCGCATAAAGATGTGGTCCCACACCACTAACCGGGCTTTTTTTAATTAGAATAACCCTTTTTATTATTTTATTAAAAAACTAATCTCCAAACAATATTATAAAAAAAATTATTCTTAAAATTGATCATGTAGTTTTTCCAGAACGCGAGTTTTATCTAGGGATTCACATTAGTTGGGTTGGGTCGGATTTTTTATCAATTTACCTCGAGAACAAAAAATCTTTCACCTGAGATCTAATCCGACCAGACCAAAACAAGATTAACCGACTCGATATATAACTTAAAAATTCGACCCGATCTGACCCGACCCAAAATAATAATAAAAAATATTTTTATTCAATAAAAAATATTTTTATTTAATAAAAATAATGACTTAATTGAAAAAAATAATATATATGGAGGGGTATTATTGTAATTATTTCTAAATATATAAGATAAAATTATATTTTTTCAAGTCGGGTCGAATATTTTTCACTCTAAACTCGAACCCGACCCAACCAGAGCATCACATTTAAAAAAACTCTAAACCTAACCGACCCGAACCTAATTAAAAAAATGCAACTCGATTCGACCCGATCAAATCAAATCAGAACCCATCGGATTCGAATCAAATGCATATCCCTAGTTCTATCTGTATGAAAGAACAGATCTTGAGGTTTGATTTCGACTTTTGCATAACGTGAGCCATTTGAGGTTATTTTCCAAATAATGAAAAGGGTTATTGATTAAAAAAACACTAACCGTCCGATGATGGAACTTTGACGTCACCAGAACATCGGATTCTCGACCCTGTCAAAATACCGTGTACCCTTGCGAAGCCGACATAAAAACCGTGGGTGCCGTAGAAACAAAACCAAACTCAATTTACTTTAAAGCTTGGAAACCAAACCAAACGTCTCCGTTTTCGGTTTGGTTTTTAGCCTTCAGTTGCGTATTCTGTCCTCTCGTTTGTTTGTATCGCTGTTAGTTTCCGCCGAGAAAAATTCTGTAAATTATTTCTCAAATTCCTTTTTCTCTTTTTATTGACAAGTTCTGTCGGATTTCCTCACTTGTTTTATACTCCGATCATCAAATTAACGAGGTACGTATGTTTTACATATCTTATTTTTCCGATTTACATGTTCACCGATTGAATAAATGTTTGGAAATTTTCCATTTATTATTATTATTTGACCCACAACTATTGGTGACCGTTCGATTTATTCCGGTTATTTGACCCATTTTCGTTTTAGGATTTTACCGGATTCTTCTGGAACCATCCCGATTACTGGTGGAGTCTGGGTTAAAACGGGCGTTTGAAAGACAAAATTACCCTATATTTTTTTACCACTTAAACAACAGTCCCGGGGATTTGTTTGACTTCTACCTTTTATTATTTAAACTTCCAATTCCCTTTCTTTTCTTGTCGGGCAAGCGTTTGATGAGATTACGCAAGTTGTTCACATGTACAATAATACCCTTCATAGGTCGGTATAGGCATAGCTATAGGAAACATATAGGTGGAGGGGTATATTCGTTAATATCTAAATTAAAAATACAGTTGTTTTAGGATTCGAAAGATTATCAGAATTTATATATTTTGATTCGAGGTTGGTTTAGGGTAATCCCACTTTGATCGCATCTAATCTTATCGTGAAAATCAATAATCAAAAGAGATCTTGTACAAAACCCTGAGGATTTTCTCATCTTTGATTGTAGAAAAGAAACCATGGGTTCTGAACAGAATGAAGGAACTAGCTTTCCGCCATCCGAGCCAAAGCTTTGCGCAAACGGTTGCGGGTTTTTCGGCACGGCGGCGAATATGAACCTTTGTTCCAAGTGTTATCGGGACCTCCGTGCCGGGGAGGAGCAAGCTGCGCAGGTGAAAGTTGCCATGGAGAAGTCCCTCCGAGTCAAAACGAACAAGGAAGATGAGGCTGCGGAGACGTTGACGCATGTTCTTGAGGTGTCTCGTGCGGGTTCATCTTCGGCCGTGGTCGAGCAACAACCTGCTACAGTTTTCGCCGATGAAAAACCTACAGAGCCGAAGTCGGCGAACAGGTGCTCTGTCTGCAGAAAGAAAGTTGGATTGACCGGATTTAAGTGCAGGTGTGAAAGTACATTCTGCGGCGAGCATCGGTACCCGGAGAAACACGAGTGCTCGTTTGATTTCAAAGGTGTTGGACATGAGGCGATTGCGAAGGCGAATCCGATCATCAAAGCCGACAAGGTGGGGAGGTTTTGAATCAAGTGTGGGAGATTTTGTGGTTCTTGAATGGATTTGGAAAAATCGTTTTGATGTTGCTGACACTGTTTGAATCCACATTAGGAAACAGTTTATCAATGAATGTTTAGTTTTCAGTTTTAATTCAAATGTTTCTGCCTTTATCTTCTCATCATATCCATGGTTCGGTTAATACATAATTATCTAACACAGAATTAATCGAATTCTGAATTTTTTTTCCTGCAAAAATCATTAATCAATTTGAATTATTGGAAATTTTATTAATTAAAGTTAATCAAATTTGATTAATTCAGTTCTGTTGTGCATTGCACTAACGTTGTCTCGTATAAGGTCTGGAGACCATTGGAATTTTCTTTATATCCTTGTTATTCTTTTCGTTTGATTACATGATTATTATTAATCTCATCATCAAGTAAATTAATTCTAAGATCCACCATGATCAAAAAATCATTAACCTTTTATTCATATAGTATTCAACTTTTGTTACAGGAAGATCCACCATGATCACAAAATGCTCCGTAACACCACTAATGAAAATAGGCTTAATGCACTTAATTATCCCTCAAATTTGCTTTTGGTCCTCCAGATTAGTGCAGTTTTTGAAAAGTGGTTTTAAAAATATCGCAGAAACGAACTTTTAAAAGTATTGTTTAAAATTGAATTGTTTAAAATTATTGTTAAAAAAGTGAGTTTGAAAAGATAAAATGTATATTATAGATATTATGTTGTAAATTGAAAATATAACATTTAAATTATATTTACACTTATTAATGCTATGATATATAAAATATATCAATTTAAACTATAATATATATATATATATATTAAGATAACTCATTAATAATATTTTTATATATGAAATATTTTATTAAGAAGAAATATATTATCAATATTTTTTAATATGTGGACATACAATTATTATGAAATAATAATTTAAACGCTTGTTAGTATTAAATTATAAAAATAAAATGTAAATACATAATTGAGTAGAACACATGTATTAGTAAGAGCAAAATTATAATTTGTTTCCAAACGCAAAGTTAAAACTGAAAAAAAAGCAAGAAATCTTAACTTTTACGGTTAGTTTACCTAAAAGTGTTTTTAGAAAGTCGCGCCAAATGGAACTTAAAGATTTTTTTTTGTTAAAAATAGACACCTAATGTTTCTAATGTTACACTTTTAGGTGCACCAACTGTAACGGCTGTTAAATTTGACCGTTGTCAAACACGTGTGATGTATATATATAAAAAAATATTTGATATTATAATTTGAAAAAACCAAAAGAATCCTACAATTTTCAGTCATAGTCAATCTGTGGCCGTCATCGTTGACACCATCAGAACAATCTCACTGCCACGACCAAAATACAGTCCCTCACCCATCATGAAATTGTGTCGACCGTCATGAAAAATGCCACGAAAGGTCGATGATTTTCTAATTTTTTTTCTTTGTTTTGCATTGATTCTGGCAGTTACAATTGATTGTGCTTTACACGATCGTCACCATTAAGCTCTTCACTCTGTTCCTTACAAAATTCAGACAGTGGCTACCCTTCGTCGTCGTCAAAGGTGAGGATGGAGGGAGAATGACTGACGGGAGAGGGTTTGAATTTTTAAAAATAGTATTTTAATTATTAAAAAATAAAAAAAATGTATAACGATAGACAGCTAAAATTAATGAGAAAATATTAGACACTTATTTTTAACGAATAATTTTGTAGGTACCGAAAGTCAATTTGAGGTATAATTTAGGCACATTAAAGTGTCTTTTTTTAAATCTCCCCTCCCAAATTTTATATGCGTAACACGTGTCAGATAATAGTTAATTTTAACGGCCGTTACGATTCAAACACCTAAAAGTGTAACGCTAGAAATATTTAAAACATATTTTTAATGAAGAATTCTTTAAATACCAAAAATTAGTTTAAGATATAATTTAAATGATCAGCATGCAACTCCTATGCCTGTACTGTGTGTATTATTTGTTAATTTGAAAAAAACTTTGTTGATAGGAAAATTTGGGTCTGTGATCGATAGGGGATCCCGCTTACTCTACAACCAAGTTATTGATGAAAGAAATATAACAACTCTCATATCTTTTAAATAATTATAATTGTATAAGTTAACAAGGTTTTTATGCCTGGGGGTGGTTTTGTAAATTCCAACCACAAGGTGAAGAGCAAGTTGAGGTGCTGAAATCACAAGTAACTTGAAAAACACATTGAATAGAGGCATTGATGGAACCTCCGACCTTGCCCAACTCCGCACTTCCAATTGAAACCTGATTTTGGCTTCACATCTTCCGTCTACCTCTGTCCCCAATTCAACCTCCAACACACCTCTAATTAGTTAACTCTTTTTCTTCTTCTTTACCCTCTAGTGGGCCAGGGATCACCCAATACCTAAGCAAACTTTAGCTTCAATTTTGCCCTCTTTCAAAACAAGATGGGGCTATTGGGTGGGAGCCATCATCCATTGCCATTAATCAACAAAACATAAGTACACACTCATTTAAATAAAAATTTAATCGTATTTATAACTAAAATCTGTATGAATAAATAATTATAGAGTAAATAATCTTTTAGATTTGTTAGATTTTTTTTAATAATTTCGAGTGATTACAATTTAATATAAATTTTAATAAAAGATATTCCGCATCCCGCTTTCAAATTTGAAGGTTAATTTAAATACTTCTTGGTAGCATTATTATTTGCTTTTATCTTATACAAAAGTAATCTCCTTTCCTTTATGTCTCCACATTTCGAAATGACTCATAATGACAAAGTTTTCCAAACTTTAGAAAGGGAATAAAAATTAAATTAAATTCAATCAAATGCACGATCTTGCCATATAAAATCCTAATGACAAATGGCCCATCGAAATAAACAGTTGGACCGTTTGGATCTGAGGGGCAGGACAGTAATTTAAGAATTCTCGCACTATTCCACTACAGGCACAATCTAAACACCGTCACGAGCCGCACGTACAAGTAACCAACGTAACGTCTTTATGTTTCCAAAGGGTACATTCGTAAGGGAATGCTTTTACTCTCTTTTCTGCTTTTAAACGCTCCAAAAGTTTCCCCCTCCGTTTTCACTGCATTTTTCTTTGCAACCAATCAAAGGATAAGCAAAGAATCAAGGAGTTCGGGAGGGAAGAAGTGGGCGCCTTAAAGGTTGGATCTTGTCGTTGTTTTTGATACTGGTTTTTTGTTTATGAAGAAATGGCCAGTGGTGGTGGCATTTATAGGAATGGGACTCATAGGAACTCTCTCAAAGGAACGACGACAACGTCAACAGCATCAACGGATAGGCCATTCTCATTGAATTCCGACCCATCAAAGCCTGCAGTGAAAATTAAGTCTTCTTCTTTGGTCGGTTCTTCTTCTGGTTCAAGGAAGAGTAGCCCCGGCTCACTTGGAGGTGGAGCTGCCAAAGATGACGCTGGAGGTTAGTTTTGAGATTTTGTTTGAGATCTTCGATGATACATTCTTCTTAGTTTTCTTGTAAACGTCGTTTCTCGTTGATTTCCCTCATGTTTTTGGGGTGTCGGATGTCTGAATTTTCACGTAAGCTTGATGAGTAGCTTTTATCTATTGTCGATGATTATAACATAAATTGTGTAATTTGCTCTTTGTAAGTAGCATTCTGCGTCTATTTTGGAAGGTTATAATTATATGTGTTATTATCTTAGCTCTGAAAAGTGGTAGAAGAGGATTTCTTAAGTTGTTTCCAGTTAAAGCAATTTTGTTCGTTATGCAATCTGAAAATGCTCCACATCAGACTGGTAAACCGTATACTGTTGGGGTGAAGCTGGGCAATGGGCACTGGTTGAGGCCCAAAATAAGTAGCCTCTCAAACTAGCAGGAATTAGCGCGGCTGTCTTGATATTCACTTTCAAAATATGCTTCTTTTTTTCTGATTGTTAGTGTTAATAATGCTGGTGTAAGATTCTTTGTAAATTCAGTCTTCAAGAAGAACAAGGTTTAGAGCGATAATTGTAACTTATCTAGTATTGAGTTTTTCTAGGAAAGTATGATCAGCATGCAACTCCTATGCTTGTACTGTGTATATTATTTGTTAATTTGAAGCCTTTATGTCTCTCTTCAGTTCCTGGAAGAGTTAGAGTGGCTGTGAGATTGCGTCCACGTAATGCAGAAGAGTCGGTGGCAGATGCTGATTTTGCTGATTGTGTAGAACTTCAACAAGAGGTATTTTGTTTCTATTTAACAGTTTGATGTGCAGGGTCAACGAAACTAGGATTAAACATTGGGAGGGGCCAGCTAGCTTAACTTCAAAAAAAACAAGAACCTATTTCTCTCTCTGTTTGATCTTGAAGTAGCCCGATTGAGGAAAAGTTAAGAGAATGGCATGTTCATTTTATCTTGTATGGGTTGACACCATGAGGGATGCATCAGCCTAAAATCAAGTTATTCAAATTAAAATGGAGAAAAGTATTAAGGGTTGAATAACATAATCACTTCATTTCAGTTAGTCAAGAAGGATTTAGTTTCTAACCACATTAGCAAAAGAGAAGTTGAATGTGCGTGTGCTTGTGCATGTAGCTGACTATCTTTTAAAGTCATTGAATTTTGCTCCCATGGAGTTTCTGCAGGTGTTTATTACTAGAGTTTGATGAAGTTCTATCGAATGCTTCAAAATTTCTTTCTTTTTTCCAGCTTAAAAGGTTAAAGCTTCGGAAAAACAACTGGGACACAGACACCTATGAGTTCGATGAAGTGCTCACAGAGTTCGCTTCACAAAAGCGTGTGTATGAAGTTGTTGCAAAGCCAGTTGTGGAGGTTTAAGTACATGGGATTCTACTTCTACAAGAATTTGTTAGAAATTTACTTGCATTTAGTTATTCTTCCTTGCAACAGCAGACGTGGTGAATTCAAATATTTCATCTAGCAAAATATTTGGATTTTTATTATGTTGGATGAGAATTATTTTCATGACCATCCTCTTTCCTGCCTGCTACAGTCTGAAAGTAGTTTCCGCCTATCATCGTGTTTTGTGTTGTCCTTTTCCTAGTTTATCAATTGTTTTGCTCTGCTTTAAATACTTGTTGTGCTTGGCGATAGCTTGTTATAAAGGATCTCTTTTCCTTTTATTTTTTGGATGCTTTGTTCATTTTATAACAATATCTGTGTATTTTTGTATATAGGGAGTTTTGAATGGTTACAATGGAACAATCATGGCTTATGGTCAGACTGGTACTGGCAAAACATATACTCTTGGACGACTTGGGGAGGAAGATACAGCTAATCGTGGGATAATGGTCCGAGCTATGGAGGATATTTTAGCAGAAGTTTCACCAGAAAGGGATACTGTTTCAGTCTCCTATTTGCAGGTTGCGTATTACTGCAGATCTTAGTGTTTGATTTCTGATATTGTCATAGTTTTCATTAATTGAGTTAACTGGTCTAAGCTTATTTAGAATATTCTTATCATTATCTCCAAATTTACAAATGTTTCAACGTTCCTGATAGTTTTGTTCATTGACAATTTGTGAAGCTCTACATGGAGAGCTTACAGGATCTTCTTGATCCTACCAAGGACAACATTTCCATCATTGAGGACCATAAATCTGGAGATGTTTCACTACCTGGGGCTACCGTAGTAGAAATAAGAGATCAACAGAGTTTCTTGGAGTTATTACGATTAGGAGAAGCTCACCGCCATGCTGCGAACACGAAATTAAACACTGAATCTTCTCGAAGTCATGCTCTTTTGATGGTGAATTAATTTAATCAAGTTATTCTTATGCTAACTTATTTGTTGGTGACCATGATTGATCTTCATTTATCTTATCACGCCATTAATTAATCACTTTCTGTTTTAGGTGCATGTCAAGAGGTCTGTCAAAGGAAGAGAATCTGCGCATTCAAGTGAAAACAGTAACAACACTAGCATGTCTAAGTCTCTTAGACCTCCACTTGTTCGAAAGGGCAAGTTAGTTGTTGTAGATCTTGCTGGTTCAGAGAGAATTGATAAGTCGGGTAATGAAACCGGAAGCATAAAGCTTCCTCCCTTTGTTTAACTGCAATCCTACTTTCCTCCTTTTTACTTGTGAAAAGCATTGTTTCTTTTCTATTACATTTCAGGGATTGAAGGCCATACACGTGAGGAAGCCAAATCTATCAATCTTTCTCTTAGCGCATTAGGGAAGTGCATAAATGCACTTGCAGAGAATAGCGCTCATGTTCCTGTTCGTGATTCAAAGCTTACTAGGTTACTTCGAGACTCATTTGGAGGTAAGTCAATTGCTTTATTCTTATGTATTATTAATTACTTGGCTATTATTCTATGTATCTCACTAACGTACATGTAGCTGTAAACATGAATGTTGTAACTTAGATTTTGTCTGCTAAATTATAAAATCTTGTCTGTAGCTTCTTAAATCCCATTTGCACTATGTAAGACCAGCATCTTCCATACCGCAAATTGGTCTGCTGACTTTTTTGTTTCTTTAACAGGCACAGCAAGAACATCATTGGTTATAACTATCGGTCCATCTCCACGTCATCGTGGAGAAACAGCTAGTACTATAATGTTTGGACAGAGGGTTGGTTACAAAACAACTTCCTTCATTTTATGATTTTAAGAATCATCTCTGAATTAGTTGGGAGGGATTGTCATGTACTAAATTCCACTGTTTATTTATAATTTCGTTTGATTGCTCAACAACATAAGCACTTTCTTTGCCTTTTCTAGGCTATGAAAGTGGAGAATATGTTGAAACTCAAGGAAGAATTTGATTATAAAAGTTTGGCTCGAAGGCTAGACATACAATTAGACAACTTGATTATGGAGCATGAGAGGAAGGAGAAAGAATTTGAAGCTGAGATTGGCAGAATAACAACAGATGTGCAAAACCGAATTTCTGAGGCTGAAAGAAACTATGCCGATGCAATGGAGGTAAGGTTTTTTCCTGGTTTTAGTATTTGTTGGTTCGTATGTGCACATAGTTGTTTAAAGTTTGTGTACAGGTGGGGCGAAGAGGATTTCCCCCCCCCCCCCCCCGAATTTCTCTTTTAGTTTGTAGGCATTCTAAATTTAGCTTGAAATTGGTGGCTGCTGTGCTAATGTGTAATGCTATAAAGCTTATCACTGTCATAACTTTGCCAGCTTTATACCTGAAAGAAGGTGGTAAGTATAGTAGAAATTTCTACATGGTTTCAAATAACATGATGTATCGTGTAACATATGATCTTATTAATGATTTGGGAAAGGGTGCTTTAATCGCCATATACTTCTAAATTTCAGTATAAGGATGGGGTGGTATGAACAGAAATAAAAAGGGGGTTTGAGTGGGTGGAACTGAGTGAGCAATTGCCTGCTGCTGAGTGCTAATCATTGAACTTTGTGGAAATAGGTCGTGTTTTTTTGTCCAGTGCTTAGAGTTTCTCTAATATATACTTGAATGCATACTGAAAGTGGTATTCTTTTTCTTCGTTTCTTGCAGAAGGAAAGATTGAAGTATCAGAAGGACTATATGGAGTCAATAAAGAAGCTTGAAGAGAAATGGATGATGAATCAACAAAATCAGGGAAGTGAAAGACAGGTGAGATTATAATATTGTGAAGGAGTATCTCGTATTACATGATATTGATTTACTCATACAATTTAATTTAGTTAAGTGGCCATATTGTTCGTCTTTTTCTGCATTCCTTTTGTTACTTCTCTAGTTTTCTGTCACTTATTGCTAAACTTTAACCTTTATCATATATGTCACTTTCTATCTGACATAGGAGCAAATGGTACACACTGCAGAGGAAGTTGCTGAACTAAACAAGTTACTTAGCAAAGAAACTTCACTAAGGAAAGCAGCTGAAGACGAGGTCAATAACCTTAAAAGTCAACTAGCTCAATTGAAAATGTCGGAGGTAAATATTGTGTTCTCTATATTATTTCTGTAGCACTGCTTTTCTTCTACTTGTTCGGCATATAGACTGATTTCTCATGCTGTCATACTTCTAACTTATAGGCATCAGGAAATTCTGAGATCTTGAAGCTGCGAAAGATGCTGGAAGGTGAGGTATCTCAAAAGAAGAAACTTGAAGGGGAAATATCAATTCTGCAAAGTCAGTTATTGCACCTAAGTTTTGAATCTGACAAGGTATATTATCAATGCAAAATACAAAGTTTCACGTAGTCCATCCACTTATTGTTACTAATCCTGTGATGCAATACTTCCAAACTTCTTTTGCTTTATTTTTCTGCCCCTTCATTTGCTAATTAATCATCCCTCTCATGACGAAATATATATGGTGAATGTTAAAAATTTCAACCTTGTCTGTTTCCTTGTAATTAAACTGCATATATAGTATTCGCCTGTAATTGAAATAAATGGCATTAAAACGACCCGATTTAAAGAATTGAAAGTTGTCTGATTGAAGGCGAGTCTTTTAACATTTAAGGACACTCATCCATTCGCAGCCAGAGTGACAATAGCTTTAATTTTGCTTTATAATTTTTAACCAGATTCTCATTTTGTTATAGACTAGAAGAAGACTTGACAGAGGTGGGGCTGGGAATGACACGGGTGGTCTAGATTCTCTCTTTTCTCAAGTTAGACCTCAGCTAAAGGATTCAGGAAATGGTGAGAAGGCCTCTGTAGCAAGACTCTTCGAACAAGGTAGTAGTAATTCCCGGAGTTATATTATAAACCATAAAAAATAATAATGTATTTATAGCTAGTCTCATTTCTTTATCTTACAGTGGGATTGCAAAAGATCTTGTCATTGCTTGAAGCAGAAGATGCAGATGTGCGGATTCATGCTGTGAAAGTGGTAGCAAATTTAGCTGCCGAGGGTATTTTTTTCTGCCTATCTGTTCCTCTTTTACATTTTGTCATGGCACTGACATTGCTCTAAACTCAACATATTTTTTTTTTGGTACAAAAAAGTTTAGGTCAGGGGTAGCTCCCCACTCCAAGGCCAGGGCATACCTAAGACCTAATTGGGATTTATTTACATAGGAATTGACTGATTACTCACCAAGAATGATGGTGGTAGGATTCGAACTTAACCTTACAAGCTCAAATTCCTGAATCCCAACCACTTACACCAATACTCATTGGCTTAATTCAACATGATTAAGATATAGCACTTCCATTTTTATGTAGTTGCATGTTTTCTTGGTTTTATCATATTTTCCGTTCCATATTAATACCTTCGAATTTTGTTGAAGCAATTTTGGTAAGACTGAAATTGTCAATTCTACTTAACTGTGGATTTTGACATGGATGTATTTTCTGTTTCCTCCATTTCTTGTGTCTGGTTAATAATAACTTTGATAGTTCTGTTTCTTATATCTGTCAATGACACTGCAAACTCCACCTCTATTGTTCAGAAACAAACCAGGAGAAGATTGTAGAAGCTGGAGGTCTAAAGACCTTACTGACGCTTCTTGGAAGCTCCGAGGATGAAACCATACGCAGAGTTGCCGCTGGTGCACTTGCCAATCTTGCAATGAATGGTAAATTTTTGCGCTTCTGGTTCATTTTTTTTATACTGCTATAAATGTATTACGGTGCCACTTTTAAAGTCTTCTCTTCCTTTTACATATATTTCTCTTGTTTATTTTCTCAGAAACGAACCAGGAACTTATAATGTCTCAAGGGGGCATTAGCTTATTATCAATGACAGCAACTAATGCTAAGGATCCTCAAACACTTAGAATGGTTGCTGGGGCGCTCGCGAATCTTTGTGGCAATGGTAAATTTCTTTACCTCCTGTGTTTATCTGTGTCATTCTTATTTTCTATGCATTTGTCATTTTTTAAGGAGACTAAATGATATGTTCATATTAAAGAACTTAACACTGGTGTAGGGCTTAATTGAACGAGTTGTTCGATCAATAACTTTCTTGAATGTTAAGTTGATCTGTAGTTTTGCCTCTTCATTCGAGTATTCCATTATGTTCTGCAGATAAGCTGCAGACTAAGCTAAGTGGTGAAGGTGGTCTTAAGGCTTTGCTAGGAATTGTCAAATGTGGACATCCAGATGTTCTTGCTCAAGTTGCTCGTGGAATTGCAAACTTCGCTAAATGTGAGTCGAGAGCATCAACTCAAGGTACATTTTCTTGGAGGATGGCTTCGATTCTTTTGATTCCACAACTTGTCAAGTAACATTTTTTACCTTGTTGTTTGGCGCATATTCAAAACATATTTATGATTTCTTTGTCTTCAAGGTGGGGTAATTTGGTTCTGAAATGGTACAGGGAATAAATCTGGAAGATCTCTTCTGATTGAGGATCGTGCTCTTCCATGGATTGTACAGCATTCTAACAGTGACGCCTCGCCAATCCGACGTCATGTTGAGCTTGCACTCTGCCACTTAGCACAACATGGTTCGTCTCTTTTTTCCTTTGAAAATTTTGAGACATCTCTCTTTAGAAACCTCTCTAATGAGGCTCCAATTCAATACTACATCACAGAAGTGAATGCTAAAGACATGATAAACGAAGGTGCCTTGTGGGAATTGATCCGCATCTCGCAAGACTGTCCACGGGAAGACATAAGAACTCTAGCACATCGAAGCCTTACTTCTAGCCCCACCTTCATAGCTGAAATGAGGCAGCTACAGATAGACTATTAATACAGTTCTGGAAAACAGATCACACATGCTTAAGTTTTGCCATGAAATATAGAATGTTCTTGGCTTTGTTGATTAGAGAGGGAACCTCTGATTTATTAATCAAACTGTGTCTTGTAATATCATATAATTTATTCATATGAGACTGCCTGTCTTGTGTAGTTTGCTAAATATAGTAAAGAATTATTTGTATTTATGGAATGTAAAGGAGGGTAAGTAAGATCCAGTGGTTCGTGTATAAACAAGTTGATTGATTTTGTAATTTTTGTTTGTTATAATCAAACACAAATGTCCCCACTGTTAATGCCAGTTTGTTCATCTTTTTCCTCTTTTATTAAATATATTAATTTACCTAGAGTAAGCACACAGTGGTAACTGTCGAAGTACTAGTTGATCAATAAAAAGGAAAGCAGAAGGAAGTGTAAGAAATGACAGAAGCAGAAGGGAATGGATAAGCTTTGGGTAATAGGGGGAAAAGGAGACACAGAATCTGAAGGGGATTTTGGGTAATTGAAGCTTTAAACAGCCTCCCGATCTTGAGTACAAAAAGAGAGAGATAAGAATGAACTAAGAAGATCCTTTGAATGCAAGTGTTTCGTGGTATTGCCTCGAAAAGGATCTTGTTCAGAACAATGCACGCGTAATACCAGCCCCCTAATATTTTTCTCGTCCACTCTCATTATTTCTCTCTCAATTACCGAAATGATTAATAAGAAAATTATAAACACCGCATAAAAAAATGATAGATTTATGTACTGAATTATATAAAAACACATAAATACTACACTTAGTAACAAATCCAATTTCCAGATCGTATATTAGGGTAATATACATTCCTTTGATACCACTTCTGGTAAATAGTTTGGCACAGGTTTTGACCCTTTGACCTTGTCTGCTTCTTTACATAACACATTACAAAATAGTGAAATGCACTAAATTTGTACTTATCTCCAACTGTCTTCCAAGGTATGAATTGTGATCATCATCAGAAAGTAGCAATGTTAAGAAGAGGAAAGATACCAGCTAGTGTATAACTGAAGAAAGAACCCTCCTTTATCTGAAGGAGAGTAGCTTGTGTATAACTGGGTGTGTGTGTGTGTATGAACAAGTAATGAAGGGTAAAATCACACAACAAAATGACATTGATAATGGGGAAGTATTATGAGAGTTTGATGGAGCTGCAACAATAAAAATATAAGTGAAAACAAGTACTGCAAGTAACCTAAGCTATTCTTGAAGCAGTAAACAAAACCTGAAACGTTGCTCAACAAACCCAGATTTCCTAGCTACAAATTAAGGTTGTGCACCTGATTGTTATAGCTGAAGTTGAAAAGAAATTAACCAACAATCGTATCATTTGAGTGCTGAAAACTGTTAGCTAGAATGGAGGGCGACCAGTAGTCCAAAAGGCCTCACTTGATAATTGAATAGAGTTGAGAAGATTAGGTGGTAATCCATTAAAAAGAGGCGCATTTGCATTTGACTCCGCCAATATTTGTTGCTGCTGCTGCTGCTGCGATCCTATTGGAAACTGCCATTCTTCTTCTTCTTCTTCTACCAGCGGAAGCCGCTCGTACGCTACGTTACTAAAAGAAGCTGCCATGATCACAACCGGACCTGAACAAATGAGTGCCCCAACAACACTGCCACCCACCACTTGGCCTTCTCCACCAGCCAAATATACGGTCATCCCCGTAGCAACCGGCGGTGCGGGTGGGGGCAAGAATGATCCCACCAATGATGTTATCTCGAATCGACCGTGTAAGTTGACAACCGCAGTACCTGCCGAAGCTGATTGTCTAAGGGTTACATTCATGACGGTCCCGGTTCCACTCATTATGCATACTCCTCTCTGGCGTCTCCTGGCGAAAGTGGCGACGCTCTGGACGACGTCGCAACCGTCCCCTATTTCCATGACATGAGTGCGTAAAGCGTTGGCAGTGTCGGGTGAGATGATGATGGGTGGTTTAGGCTTGTTCTTGGATCCAGAAGGTCTACCTCGTTGTCTTCGGTTCATCTCTCCTTCACCACCATCAGGACCACCATAGCCATGAAGACTAAGCTCTTTGCCTTCGTTACCATTGTTGTTAACATCGTCTCGATCCCGTTTCTTAAGGCCACAGCTGCTTCCGCTTTGTTGTTCATCTTCTGAAGTTTGGTGATGGTACTGATTTTCTCGCAGCTGAATCTGTTGATGGTGTAGATCGAAATCTCTTATATGAAATGCAGGTGGGACAGAAAAACCATGTGATGACACTGGATCCATGTTTTTTCCACTTCTTATTCTTCCTTTGCTTTCTGGTTATCCCTAAACCAAGCCCAAAACCTCGGATTCACTTGGTCCTAAAGTTTTGAGCTGAATCCCAACATGTTTTTTTCACATAAGAGTTTGGGATGCCATGGAGAAATTAAAGAGAGGATGGGAGGTTTGGTTTTGGTTGAATGAATGTTGCTGTATGGCTTTAGGGTTACATATATTGGAGCTGCGAAGGATTGTGTTTGGTGGGCGGTGAGAGGTCCCCACTTCTCCCTTGGTTCTTTCCCAATGTTAAATAGTAAAACAACTCTAGTTAAATTAAGTTGATCTTATTTTTATATAATCACGTTTAAAGTGAAATTTATCAAATTAATTTTGATATAAATAATATTTTAACTCTAATTCAGCCTAACGCTAATTGCAAGTATTTTCTTGTCCAATTATCTAATGTTATTCTCTCTTCAAGCATTAACCAATGAATACTTGATCACAAGCCAAAGCTCAAAGCACTATGAGCGTGTTTCTTTCCTAAGCAAATGAATGCAACAAAATTCTCACAATACACATGTTCGACAAATTTTCACTTAATCTTGTTTATAAGGTTAGAAAGATGATATGATCGAAATTGGAATCTTTTAATTATTTTCATAAGATAAATGTTGATTTAAACGAAGATATTGTGATAAATCTTATCGATTTTCCGGTGGCTTTTCTCATGTCTTTACCATTTTACACGCGGTCCATGCCATGTTGAATTAATTAATTAATGTTGCTTTCACATGTGGTCCATGCCATGTTCATTGTTGATCCTAAAATTAATTAATTAATAAGTTTAATTAGGAGCCTTGATGTTGAATTATCTAGTGTGAACTTGCTTCATTACTCATTCATCGATTGCATGAAGTGACTCATGCTTATTGTACCATAACCGACACAACAAACTAAACCATTTCAACATGTATGGTTATTTGGCTCAATTTAATTTTTAATTTGGATCTCGAAATCGAGTCGAATTTAAATTTACAAAGTAAAATAATGGAATAGAGCTTGTATTCATAAGGTTAGCTCTTTCGAAAACTTGAAAGCATTCATATAAAACACCTTTTTAATGCAAAACCGTAAATCGAATAGCAATGTGTGGAAGTGTGCACATAAAGTTATAAATAAACATACGAAACATAATTACCGCTATCAGCCTATTTGATGGGGAAATAATAAAGAACACTAACCGAGGCCTGTTCATGCCTCCTTACGAGGTGCATCGGCTTTGATACGAGGCGGTCTGACTATACGATCAATAAGCCCATATTCAAGAGCTTCTTGAGCGTTGAAGCGTTTCATCCTACTCAAATCCGTGTTGATCTGCATGTGTACAATCGTTGTTAGTTCAATTTCAACGGGTAAAACAATCAAAGTTAAAAGAAAAACGAATGAACTTTCGGCAGAGAAAGCGAACGAAAGCTCGAATGAGAGAGATGATGTCAATGTTTGTGTCTCGGGCCGAAAAGGGAAGCGCTTGCTACACATAAATGAATCCAACAAAATAAAAACATTATTATAGTGAACTTCTGAGCTTGAGCTGTTAACATCACCTTCTCAACAGGCTGGCCTGTGTTCTTAGCTAGCTCATTGTAAAGGTAATCTCTGATTCTGAGAAGCTCATTTGCTTCATTGCGGATATCATCAGCCTGCCGACATTAGATAATTTTACGGTAATCAAAATGATAACAATGAAAAAGTTCAACGTAATTCACAAGAAGGTAGCTGGCAGTCATACCTGACCACGAGCAGCACCAGCTGGAGACTGTAGTGCAATTCTTGAAAGAGGCATTGCAAAGCGATTACCCTTCACATATAGAAAACAAGAAAAAACTATATCATTTTTCCGATTTCAAATTCAAATAACAGATGCATCACATAAGGCGTTAAAGAAAATTTCTTAATTTCGTAATAGGCTAGAGAACAACAATGATGCACCTATCACATGTTATAAAAACTGAATTAGGACAGAAGACAGTTTTTTCGGTTATTTTCATCACCTCCAGACCAACATAGAATAAAATTTAAGAATCACTATGTAGTCAGCACAGCTATTTACGGGACTACTTCATGCCTCATGCCGTAACAGTTTACAATCTTCACTCGCAAAATTTAACACCGCAGGCTTTATAGATATAGAAGGAAGAGATACCTTTTCCCCAGCTGCAAGAAGGAAGCCTGCTAGATTATAGGCATAGCCTACACAGTGGGTGCCGACGGGGCTCTTCAAGCTTTGCATGGTATCATAGATGGCCAAGCTTGGAGTAAGCTGTAAATAAAGCCAGTGTATATCAAATAGTGACCAGAGTTAAAAAAAAAACTAGATATAGAAATATATACACCAACAAAGGATTTAAAAAGGGAAGTTACATCTCCACCAGGACCATTAATGTAAAAATAGAGCCTTTTATTATCATCAATACTATCAAGGTATAGCATCGTTGCCAATATCTGGTTGCTAAATTCCTCATCTATATGTTGTCCGATGAAGATAACTCGCTCTCGGTACTGCATTCAAAGTATGTCATTAGCCTCTAGAAGTAGCATGTTAGAATTTAAAGCTTGTTTGAAAAAGATTCAGGGCAGCAATGAAAATCTAGGAGATGCTGAAACAGTTGTCAAACCACTTCTCAAAGAACGGTAAAAGAAAGGTTTCATGGGAATCATCTCCAACATAACAAGACCCTGAACAGCATGCATGCTGCAATCTGTTAAGTTTATAACTATGTTCTTCAATCTTATAATGTACAATGAGCTATGTCTACTCACCAGGGCATTCCATAAATCAACCCATTGCCAAGTTCCTTCACCCGGAACTCTATATGGAACTTTTGGAGTTCCTATAGGCATCATCCCAACTTGTGCCCTTGTTGCTTTATAGTTTCGTGTTCTGCGGACAAAGAAATGCACAATCATCGGTATATTGGAAGAACTAATTCAAAACTTGAATTTAGAGGTTCCATGTATCATATATTTGAGACTTCATCAGATAAAGCTCCTTGTTTCCATGAAAGAATATAAGCAACTAGAATGCAACAAAAATCAGAATAAGGCAGGCATAAGAGATAAGAACCGTCAAACATGCTACGAAACCTTAAAGAATCAACCTTTGAATCGAACATAAACATTAAAAAGATGCACTTCCTCTTTTTCTTGGGACGAAAAACAATATTCAAGAAGTTAAACGTGATTTTCACTTGCAAGAAGCACATTGTAAAACCCAAATTTCGAATTTGTGAACTGCAAAGTTGCCCTAGAGAGTGCCACGATCAAAATAAACAAGAACAACGCAAAATCTCCCATTACAAACCCTAAACACAATCAATAAAGACAATAAATTAAAACTAGAGACTAGTTACCTGCATTGGAGACTCTTATTAACTCTGGTATAGAAATCTGCAGTTAAATTTGGTCTCCCAGTTGCAAACAAACCTTTAAAATATTAACATTTACCAACGAAAGGGGTCAAAATTTAGGGCAGATGTCAAAAAAAATGTATGAATAGACTATATAGAGGAAGACGAACATACAGGGAGATTGAAGCTTCAAACCAGAGTAAAGCTTAGTCCTACAACTGCAAAACAAAAAACGAAAAAAATACAAAATACCCATGTCTTATACATACGTATGGCATACACCGTACATGTGTTATACAGTGAAAGAAATCGAACCTGGGAGAGGGCTGATAAAGATTTGTATTAAGTGAAGTTGCCATTGTTTTGGGGGTCTGAAGAATCCGAAAGAGAGTTCTATTAGGAAGATGAAGACAGAGGGCGTGGATGATATAGCAAGGATCTGGTGAAGCCGTTACTATTGTCGACAGATCAACAAACAAATCGTTACCGGTTGAATTAGGTTTGATGCAAAAATCAATCTTTACGGACATAAAATTCCTCTTTTTGTCGAACTCAAACGGAGTCGTTTTATTGAAGTTCAAAAAAATCAAATGAGTATAATTTATTAAAGAGAAAATAACCTCAGTGACCAAAAATCTCATATAATATACGATTTTAACCAATTTTTTTCGAATTTGCCAAAATGACCAACAAAATCGCAATACGATCGCTAATTCGCAACGCGATCTCTATTATCGCAAATCAGTTTCCAGATTCGCAACGCGATTATGACTATCGCAATGCGATTTTCCAATTTCGCGTTGCGATTTTCCCAATTCGTAATATAAATAAGTAAATCGCAACGCGAAATTGGAAAATCGCAATGCGATACTGACTATCGTAATGCAATTTTCCTAATTCGCATTGCGATTTACGTATTCGCGTTGCGATTTTCATAATTCGCAATGCGAATACGTAAATCGTAATGCGATTAAGTAAATCGCAATGCGAATTAGGAAAATCGCAATGCGAATACGTAAATCGCAATGCGAATCTTACTATCGCAATGCGATTTACATAGCGCCATTCATATTAACGCGTATTTTTTTTTCAAATTCCAAACACGAATTTTTTCTTAATATATCGGAAACTGAACCGTCCACAGTAATCGCAACTCAAACCTAAAATCACAACACTCAGTCCCATCTCTATCTCTCACTCTCTACGGCGAAATCCGTCCCCATCTCCGAAGATTTCCGTCCCCATCGCCGGCGAAATCCCTCACAACCATTCACGGTCAGAAATCCCTCACAATCATTCAGAAATGGAAAATCAACATCCGATGGTTAGTTTTTTTAATTATTTTTATTTTGAAAATTTTGCATTATTTTAGGTTTTTCATATTGAAATTGATGATAAGTTTACTGGTAATTTCAATAATAGATTAACCATTTCACTTAGATTTCTTATTAAATTCATTCGATTGCTGCCAATACTGCTAAACTGTTTAGCCTGTGAAGTTAGTATTTGTCTTTGTTTTGTCTTTTGGTTGAAGTAATGCAGAAGAAGAATAGTTTCGAGAATGAAAATCGCAACGCGGAAATAACTATCGCAACGAGAGAATCGCAACGCGAAACCAAAATCGCATTGCGATTT